CATCCTGAACAGCTCATCACCGGCAAGGAGGACGCAGCCAACAACTACGCGCGCGGCCACTACACCATCGGCAAGGAGATCATCGACGGAGTCATGGCGCGCATTAATAAAATATCAGAAGCTTGCTCGGGATTGCAGGTAGAATATTTTATTTTTATATGTTACGCATATGTTTATGTGTTATATGTTGCGCACATCTAACTGTAATAGCTCATAGATATTTTCATTGTTTCGATTGCTTAGTTCGATTTTCTTTTGATTATTATGGCATTAGAGTGATTAGACTATTATAAATCGTTCATTTCTACCTTGAGGACATTTGCGAATTCTTTACTTTATCCCCTATCATTTGTATTACTTGTATGGAGCCAAAAATCTTTTAATTAATATTGAGATCACAAATTATGAGCTTTCATCGCCAAAAATTGTTACTAACTACTAAGGATGTTAATTTAATAATTAAGTGCAAGTGCAAGGTGGTCCTGTGGTTTCAGTTCAGAGTACAGTACTGGAGCAGTGAGTTGTGAGATCGAGTCCTGCGACAAGCTGTGGAAATTCTTCAAGTTTAGAATCAGAATCAGGTATAAATTGCCCAGCCTATTTATTCAGTGCGGACACTTCTATTCTATTCCAATCAAATCTGACATCGCTAGAACTAACTAACTAAATATCTATGTACTCGAAGGGGTTCTTCATTTTTCACTCGTTCGGTGGTGGCACCGGATCGGGTTTCACCGCTCTGCTCATGGAGAGGCTGTCATGTGAATATGCCAAGAAGAGCAAGCTGGAGTTTGCCGTTTACCCGTCACCAACGGTTAGTGCTTTTATCTTCACCTGTGTTAGTGTTTTACCTTTCATCACTGTCAGTATTTTTCCCTTCGCCTATGTCAGTGCTTTTCTTTTCGTCTATGTCAGTGCTTTTCCCTTCATTTGTGTCAGTGCTTTCTTCTTCGTCTGGGTTTTGCAGTTCTTTCCCTTTCGTCTGCGTCATGCAGTTCTTTCTCCTTCGCCTGTGTCAGAGTTTTCCCTTCGTCTGTGTCAGTGCTTGCTCCTTCGTCTGTGTCAGTGCTTGCTCCTTCGCCTGTGTCAGAGTTTT